ATTGTACACAGGTAAGTTGGGAAACTAGGGATCGAGCCCTGGGATCTGTCTCAGCTACCACGAATTGGTGAATACCGTTTCATGTTCAAGAGTTCCGCCGTTGTCCTCAAGGTGTCCTTGACGTGATCCAGGGCATTGCTTAATGTCGGACACGACCTTGAGATGAGATAGTGGCGGATGGCCTTGAAGCCCATCTGGATGTCTGGGATGGATGTCAAGCGTTGGTACTCGGCAATCCAGTCGACGCTCGGCAACGTGCCGTGTTCGAAGACCATTAGCTTGTCCATTGCCTTGATCTCCGGCGGCTCTACTTGGAACCGCTTGTGCCACGCCGCCTTCAGATCATCCCAACTGATCTTGGTATGCAAGTCGGCAGCTACCACTCCGTACTTGGACAAGAGATTGTCCAGCCATGCCTGGCACGCACCCCCCGACCAGGAGTATAAGTACGCGTCGTGCTTGTGTTCTTTGACGTAGTGTAGCTGCAACGTGAGCTCGAACTTGCGGAACCATGAAATTGGATCTGTCTTCGTCGAGTCGCAGAAGATCTCCTGCCCGTCGAACTTTGGAGCTGTCTCGCGCTGTTCCGAACTCAAGTGGTTGGCGGCAGTGCAGATCCGCTGTTCCAGCTGTTGCGTTGCGGTTTGCTGTAACTGCACGCCGTCCATGAGGGAGCCGACGTCCATCTCCAATGCTTCAAGGCGATCGGAGTTGTTGGTAGTGCTGGCATCGGGGGCGGTGACAGGTCGCTGCTCCAGCTGCCAGGGACGGCCGTGGACTTGAGTCAGCGGATCTTCCTGCTGTGTAATGCATGTTGCCAGGAGGTCTGTGAGATGGGAGAGGAGTAGAGCGATCTTGTTTGCGGTATCCTCCAACTTGCCATTCTCGGCCTCGGCCCGCCAATCCGCTGCCATTGTGAGCAAATTTTGCTCTCCACTAAATATCTTCTCCCGCCGTTGAACTCGTTCTTAATCAGCAGCCTTTGCTGCTGCCTCGTCGTGCTGGCGCTGCTGTTCGATTCCCAGCAGATGTGCCTGCTCGGGGTCCTCTGCCTTCCTCTGCGCTGCTGTTAATGCGTCATCCGCCCGTCTCTTGGTTTCGGTACTCCAGGCCAGCATCCGGGCCTGATAGGCCTCGTCTGTTTCCCTGGACCTCTGGTCCATGACGGCTGTTTGTGAGCGCAACAGCATAGACCAGGCCGGGGGCCTGCTGACGTGGTATTTCCTGCTCTGTCGGCTGACATGGCCTGCTGAAGTGTCCTGCTGAAGTGTCCTGCTGAAGTGTCCTGCTGAAGTGTCCTGCTGGCGTGTCTTGCTGACGTAGTCTGCTGACGTGGCCTGCTGACGTGGCAACTCACCAATGCCGCCGCAGGGGGTACCCGGAGACCGAGAGAGAAGGTAAGACCAGAGGTGGCAACAACATAGGTGGGGAGGGGTGGGTGGGATACATGCCCAGATAAGGAGCAACCTATCAAAAAAAGAAAAGTTTGAACTTCGGGAAAAAAAAAATTTCGACAAAAACAAAAATCCCGAGTTTTGCAAGTTCAGTAGGTCTCCCCACCTCCCTTGATGTGCGAAACTATCACTGAGAAAAAATTTCGAACTTCAGTCTGCAAATGATTTATAGAACTGACTAACAGAATCCTAGAATGATGCTGCAAGAGGGACTTCCCGTACCGATTTCAGAAAAACGAATTTCGGAAAATATTCCGAATTTCCAGATAACGGGAAATGCAACAGGAAATCGAAATTTTCGAAAAGAAAAGCAAAATTTCGAATTTTCAGAAGAAAAACGAAAATGGAAATTTCAGATGTTGTGCTATTGCGATTTTCCACGATAGAAATAGCGAGAAAACAAAATCCAAGAAAAGAAAAAAAAATTCGATTTTCAGCAGTAAGGTCAAAATCGTGATTTTGGGGGCTAGCTAGTGTGCTCTAATCAATCTATCAAGACTAATCAGCTACCTTGTCCCTGCACACGTGTCAGATCAGGTTGTCCTAATTCACGTGCGGTGTTCCAATACCAACTGTTACATGCCCAGTTGGGCGATGTACATATAATCCGAGGATCCGCAATGTGATAAAAAAGGACTGAATGGACAATGCATTGCAAGTAGAATCTCAACAAGCAATGTGCAGTCCGATACATACAAAATGGTGCTTTATAGCGCAGGGAAGACTTGGATACAAAACCTGACCTGACCGAGACTGACCCCTTTCACGTAGTACAAGATAGCGAAGCAGAATGCTAGAATACTAATGACTAGCCCAATCAATGTTTCAACGCAGACCAAACATACATCATGCTTATCACAGGGTGTGAAGGAGCCTGGCGCTATACACAGGAAGGAAACGCCAGGTCCAGACATACACAGACGAAGAGGAGGGGATCAGACGAAGATTGGGGAGAGATGGGAATGTCGTCAACAGCAAGTCTTTGTCACAAGTCCCAAATAGTCCCTCGTCGAAATGTCCGAAGCCCAAAAGTCGAGTCTGGATCCAATGTCACCAAGCTCTCTCTCTCTCTTTCTCTCGTAGTCTGCTGATGCAGTGAAGTCAGATAATGAGAGGGGGAGAGGGAGATGGTGGACTGAGAAGAGGAAGAAGAAGAACTCTCTCTCTCACGAGCCAGGTACTCACCTGTGAAGTTGGCGCTGTGATGCAGGTACCTCGAAGACGAAGCTGGAGCAACGGCGCTGCAGGTAAGTACCTCTGGCCTCCGCCCAATCTCTCTCTCTCTCTAGTACTACCCTAGCTATGGCGCCCAGCGCTGAAGACTACAACTAGCGCTRCCARCGCCCAGCGCTGAAGACTAATGCTAACGCTACTACTACTGCAGCGCTCCTCCAGAGTGCTGCTGCCGAATCCTGAAGACTACTGCCTCCTGCCTACCTCGTGAAGTGCCTGGGAAGTACCTATGTACTTCCTCGGCCTGCCTCCTGACTGCCTCCGACTGCCTGCAGTTGCAGGGCGACGCAGTCCAGGAGGCTGCTCTTGCCAATGCCAAAACGAGGCAGGGGCTGGCGCTGCAGCAGTCGTGGGAACAGGCCAAAAATAGCCTGTTCCTAAAACCCTGGTTTTGTGCCTGATTTTCAGGGCCGGTCGGTCTGATGATGGACCGGAAGTGGCCCTTCGTTTCAGGCTAAAAAGGCTATTGCCACTTTTAGTCTGAAACGACACAGGGTCTGCAGGCCCCTGTATTTCAGGCTCTCGAGCTGAACAGACACGGGGCCTGTAGGCCCTGGTTTTCAGGCTTTCAGCCTGAGGGACGCAGGGCCTGGAAAATGGCCCTCGTGTGCAGGCACAGCATGTAACGGTAGGGGACTCAAAAAGACAGCAATGTGGCTGGTGTATCTTCCCACGTAAGACTTTTGGATACATTCTTTTTCCGCACTCAATCTCTTCTTCTTTCTTTATAGCAAAATCACGGAGGAAAAATGGCTGCCCATTCTTTTGTTTTCCAAACAGAGAGCAAACCAACGGTTTTGCAGAGGAGGGCGCTTTTGAATCTTGATCATGACTGTATCGCACCTCTGAAAAGCCCCAGATACATAGAAGACAGCACGTAGAGGAACACAAGGAGGTACAAGACACGGATAGTTTTGGGGCCAGAGCAAAGCCCCGAAAATATTTTGCCCTGCCCATCTCTCAATTTTCGTGGGGTGGGGGGACTCCAATTCAGCGCCCTCTGCGACTTTTGTTTTTGGGGGGTGATGCAGATTTTTGCCTTTGCAGCACACCGAGTGCGAGCGCCAGGTGGGCAAAGCGAGTCTGGCGCGGACGCGATGCACCACAAGTATGGTAAGAAGTTATGAACAAACCATTCTTTTTTGCAGATTTCAGTTCATGCGTGTGTTGTCACATAAGTATATAGTCATGTAGTGGGTGAAACTACAACGAAACAGTCTGTCACAGCTCCTCATTTTGTTGTCCTTTTCTTCCTCTCTGTCTATGGTTCTATATGATGATATAGATTGTTCCAGAGGAGTTTCACCCACTGTATGACTATATACTTATGTGACAACATACATTTGGCAATTTCTTGCAAGTGAGTTCTGCATTTCCCATCCTTTTCAGCTGAGCGTGAACTGCAATCTGCAAAAAAGCATGCTTTGTTCATAACTCCTTCCGCTCAAATGGGGTACTTGGGACTGTGGAGATTCCAACTGTGTGACTTATGTGACATGTGTCACTGTGGAAACTGCAACTGTGTGACATGTGTGATTCTTGATTGTGTGAGGTGTGTGTGTGGTAGTTTGTGTGAGGGCTTACCATGTGACGTGTGTGACTGCTGTATGACATGTGTGGCGATCGGTTGCCAGGGCATTCCAACTGTCTCTGAGACAGTCTTTGCTGCACAGAGCCTTCCTCCCAGCATCAAGATCGCAGCAATCACAGGGACTAACGGAAAGTCGACAGTGACAACATTTACTGGCCAGGTACAGATGCATTTGCCTGAGGACGTATGAGTCCATGGACCAGGCTCCTTCAGCGGTACGTTTATGCGATGCTAGTACGCACGTGGTCAGTTTTGACACCAGATTCAATGCTTTCTAAGGGCGGGGCATAAACCAGAGGCCTTGAGATGACTCTCTTATCAGTACAAAATCTTCTGTTACACGTGTCGGAATCGTCACTACTGACAGGTGTAAATAGTCAGAGCTGTGGTGTGCCCTTTCTCTGCTGTTCTTGCTTTTTTCTTTTTCCTTTTTTTTTTTTTTTTTATGTGGCCCGATGGACCACAGATCAGATATTAAACTGATCAGAGCAGATACTACACTTGATCTTAGATAAAAGGCCGAGAAAGGTATTCTTCTTCCTTTTCTCTTTTCTTTCCCCTTTCTTTTTTCTGTTATGAGGGGGATAGTCCCTCACGTGATCAGTGTATCAACGGCTACGGTCTGTACCATCCATCCTCAAGGATTGGTTTATCTATGTTTCCCCTACTTCGTTTCGCTGGCATGTTTGTCCTCTCAAGGGGCCACCATATCCCAAACCTTACATAATCGTATGTATATATCGTCAAACAGAGCTACCCGGTAAACCGTAGGCAGAGAGGGAGAAGAGGACAACAAACGACGGGCTGCACTGCATATGTATATGCATATACGTATACCATGTACGTATATATCGTCAAACAGAGCTGCCCGGTAAACCGTAGGCAGAGAGGGAAAAGAGGACAAGAAACGAGGGGCTGTGTATATATAGTCGAACAGAGATGCCCGGTAAACCGTAGGCAGAAAGGGAGAAGAGGACAACAAACGAGGGGTTGTGACAAACTGGTTCGTCGGAGTTTCCCCAACAATGTATATATGTATATATGCATATATGCAGGGTTACAGGGCCGAACGTTCAGAGCCCCCTGGGCTGACCCCCGAACGTTCGGGTGTTCGGGTTCAGCCGTTCGGCCCTGAGCGAATGCCGGCTACCATGCATGTATGCGTAATGACCCGTCATAACACAGACTGAGAACACTGCTGATTTCTGAAGTTCTGCCGATGGAATGGATGTCTTGTTGAGATTCCCGCATTCTGCTGGGTTTTCTAAGTCTGTGTGTGTGCGTGCTTGTGACCTGCATGCCTGTCTGAGTGCTTGTCGGTATGAGTGTGTGTGTGACCCGCAAGGGTACTTGCTTGTTTGGCAGGCCCGTAGGGCCGGTACTTACCTGTGGCCGTGGCATTGAGGGTTGCAGCAGGGAAAAACACTCAAGTAGCGGCCGGTACCGCACCCAGTAGCAGTAGATGTGCCGGGTACTCGAGGCCGAGCAGAAGAAGACAAAATTGGCATTTTTAGAGGCCCAGTAGCGGTAGGCTAGGAGAGAAGGTTAACAACAATCGTATTTTTCATCACCACTTCAGGACTCGCTTCACCACTTCAGGATGCTGCAGCCTGCCTAAACAGGTGGTTTTCAGGGTCTTCGGACCTTTCACCACTTCAGGACCATTCAACTCTGAAAATCCTGAATGGTCCTGAAGTGGTGAAAACTCCGAAGACCCTGAAAACCACCTGGTTAGGTAGGCTACATCCTAAAGTGGTGAAGGGT